TTTACCCCATCACCACAACTCTGCTATAAAACTTGAAGCTCCAGTAATTAGAATGATAAAATAGGTGCTTTTCCAATCCAGTTAGAATATTCTACACCCATATACACATGTGCTCACTATGAGCAATATTTCATAGGATAATTATTTAGCTTTACAATCTACAGAGTTATATGATTTGCACGTATCTTTCTCTAACTGATGTGGTTCCTGCGACTTTCTTAAGACATAGCCATGTCTATGTATGTGTGTATGTATGTATTTAGTTATTTATTTAGAGAGAAGAAAGTGTGGTTGTGCAGCAGAGGGCTCAAACAGAGGTTTGCAGGAGTCAGTTCTCTACTTCCACCTGTGAGTCCCGGGGATTGAACTCCGGTCCTCAGACTTGATTGCAGACACCAGTCCCTGCTAGGCTTTCTTGCTGGTCTCAGTTTTCTTTTACTTCTGTATTGTATACATGATAAAAATTTCTGAATATTTCTCCTTTGCATACAGGCATGCCTTTTTCTGTCACACATGATCCCACAATTGATTTGCAAGGCCATAAGATAAACACACATTTAAATTTTCACTAGATTTTTCCAACTTAAACTTTGAAGTAGCAGTAACAATCTTCAACCTTGTCAGCCATTAATAAGAATATGCATTTACTAACATCTTTAAAATTCCTGGTATGGACTTTAATCTTTCTACTGAGTGTGCTCATTCTGATTTGTAAATTAATTTTTTTCTTGTCCTGTAGCTGTTATTCTAAATTATAGTTACATGATTATGTAAGTGATTGTTAACATATTTTCTTACCCTTTCCTATGTATTTCTAAGTTATTAGGGTAGACATAGCATGTGTTGTATAGACCATTGCTATAGAGAACATAATTAATGAAGACACCAGTTGTGTTTTGAAGTCCGTTCCTGAGTTTGTCTTGAGACGCCTTCTCTATGTTTATCTACAGAATTCTGACAGGATTCTTAAAGTAGATCTCTGTTTTGGAAACATGAAAATTATTAGCTCATTTTTGACTTACAGAGAGCCAGGCTGCTTTGCCAAACCCTTCCTTGGACTACAGTGGTGTTATATTCTTTCATAACAACCATCTATCCTTCTACATTAGGTAGATTCATACTGAGTTCTTCAGCATTTCCTCCTTTCTTATGTGTTTCCCTTTCCACAGTATTGTCTCTCAATGGACTTTGGGAGCCCATTTCCCATGGAGGGATACTCTGTTAGCCTAGATACATAAGGGAGGGCCTAGGTCCTGCTCCAAATGACTTCACAGATTTTGGTGCTCCTTCATGGAAGGCCTCACCCTCACATTGGGGGGCATGGGAGGATGGTAGGGAGAGGGAACTGGGATTGATATGCAAAATAAGATCATTTCTAATTTAGATAAAATTTATAAAAGACTCACATTTGATACCATGTTGGTATTTGTTTGGAGGATTTAGACTGACAGCTATATACATTACATTATCATCTTCTGTGATATCTTTTGTTACAATTTTTACATAGTCAATTTATCGAAATATAAATTTTATGCTTTTACTTTTGTGGCTTATTTTAAAGATACCCTCTTTAGCACAAAGTAAAGACATTCTGTGTTAGTAGCATTAATTTTTCATTTACTAAGAATACAGATCATTAGACATGTATGGTATGGATTAGAGATGTGATTTTCTTTTTAAATTTAAATTAATTTTAAATTTTAATTAAAATATAATTATATCCTTCCTCCCTTCCCTTTGTGTTCCTCATTCCTTCTCATGCCCCTCTCTCCCTCTGAAATTGTTGGCCTCTTTTTCTTTATTATTGTTATATCTTGGCATTAACCACCAGCTGTTTGAACTTCAGGCATGCTCAACAGTAACATTTTCTATTTAGGAAAGCAATGTGAAAGGTAAAGAATTGCTTGAAGCTTCAGTATCTTCATTATCCTAATAGATCCTTTAAAAATTATTCTAGATACAAAAAACAAAACCAAAAATCCCAAAACCTCTGATTCTAAATATGTCATAACAAAGGTTCATTAATGATGATATGTAAAATTCTGTTAAATTTTAATGATACATGTTTATGTGCATAAATTACTTTAATCATTCTTCATTTTCAAAGTGGTTTGGCGGACTTGCATCTCCTATTTAAGAAATACTAATTCACTGCTGCTCTCTTGAAAATTTTCACTTAGCATGTTATCACTATGATCAAATGAGTGAATTGTAGGCAGACAGGTAAAATACCTAGCTAGTTGTTCCTTATAGAAACAAAATCATCTAAAAATATAAATGGGAAACAACTATTCAGTTCACAATAGTGGTAAACTTTAACATTTTTAGTAGTAGTGATAGTTCTATTGGGATATTCACAGTACAGAATCTGAAGAAAATTACAAATCTTATTGAAGTATTTAATACATTTGAGTCAAGAAAAGACATTTTAAATTAAATTTAGTGTTGCAAACTAGAATTCTATGTAAATATATAGTATTTTAAGGTTGCAAATAAATTCTACTGAGGTTATCTTAAACTAAAATTAATATAAGATGTTAGAAGTACGTATTTCATGGACAAGTTGCATTGGTTGGAATTCTGGCTTCATCAACTATGGCCATGAATCATGCTATTTATCTTTTGTGTATTTGAAATGTTAGTGAGAAAGAACTGTTGTATCAAATCTGAGAGTGTGTCAGCTCCCCTTCTGACTGCATGTATTGTTTAATACTTGACATACAATGGCAGTAACTTTTCAAAATAGAACATTTGAGCTTGATGCAGTCATCCCACTCATGAGAGTATGTGTTCCAGCTACAGAACACAAAAGCATCTATATGTGATGATATTAGTGATAGGTTTTCTAGGGGGAAGTGGGAGCAAATGCCAGGGAAGAATTGCACATACCACTGTTTTAATCTAGTCTGCATTACAAAGAAAGAGCAACACAGCACATGACTTCAAACAGAACCGCCTCAAAGCAGCTCACATGGATCTCCTTTCTCAAAGCAGTCTGCTGTCATAGTGTGGCGAGTCCTAAAACATTTATTTAATGTGTTTTTCATCTCTTAGTATGTTACACCGTTAGCAGAGAGTACGAGGATTGAAAACACTTTGTTCTAGTGGAGATTTTATACCATTTATCACTCAGTCATTTTAAAAGCAAGAGGTGTTGATTTGGCTTTAGAAAAGCAATGGGAGTGAACTTGAATCCCTACCTTTTTCTTTAAGTAATAGGGTAATAGAGGAAATGAAAATGTAATTGCATAATTTATCCCTGTTTAAAAAAATTCCCTGCCATCTGTGCTAGCTACTTTTTATGTCACAAGTTAGAGTTTTATTGACATAAGCTAGAATCATTTGGAAGAGGGAAATTCAATTGAGAAAATGCCCCCATCAGACTGGACTGTCGGCAAGCATATGGGACATTTTCTTGATTAATGATTGATGTGGGAGGCCCCAGTCCACCATGGGTGGTGCCAACCCTGGGATGGTGGTCCTGGGTATTATAAGAATGCAAGCTGAGCAAGCCGTAGGAAGCAAATGAATAAGCAGCTCTCCTCCATGGCCTCAGTTCCAGTTCCTGCCTCCAGGGTCTGGCCGTGAGTTCCTGCCCTGGCTCCCCTCAGTGAGGGACATAAAAGGTGAATAGGTGAAATAAACCCTTACCTCCCAGAGTTGCTTTTGGTCATGTGGTATCACAGTGATAGGAACCCTAAGACACTGTCTCTGGGATGGTAGTATTTGGAAAGTTAATGTTTTATCACAGGTCTTTGGTCACGTCAGGAATGCTTTTAGAAAGGGTTCTTCGGTACAAATGAATAGCATGGCTTCAACCGACCAGGATCTTTCAAAGGCTTTTAAAAAGAAAGTGATTTCTTTATTAGTTTATATGCCTTCTGCTTACAGTTTTGCATATGGAGTTCTGCTTAACTTTTATATTAGCTAAAATAAATGAAAAAATAGTAATTGTGTATGTTTATGGGCACATGTTTATAGAAAACAAAATGTTGATGAATTAGTTTTACTTGCAAAGGCAAAGGAAGAGATGTAAGAAAGTCTTAAGTACAGTGAGAAGATGGGCTGGGAGGAAGGAAAGGAGACTAAAGATCAGTATCTAACAATATCATCCTTCACATCTCAGGTCTCTCATGGAAGTCCCCAACATTTTCTGCCTGCTGAATTGTCACTTCTATTAGCTAAGCAGTTAACTTACCAATTAAGTGTGTACTATTTTATAATCTCTTGTGAAATGGTCTATTATGTAAGTTGTTATTTAATTCTCCCTCCAAGATTATAGCTTACCTTCATAATTACATTAATACTGTCTGGAGTCCTGGACTATTTCTCAGAAACTCGGATCTTTTGCTATGCCTTCATGATTGTTGCCACAGGGAAGCTCATGGGAGGAGGAATGACAAGTGTGTCAGGAAGGTGACAGAAGTAGCTTGAGTGGGCGAGGACACAGAAATAATGGGTAGGGATAAGGATGTTTGTGCTGTTGTTTGGGAAGGTGAATAAGAGAAGTGTGGAAATAACTTGGCTTATTCCTTGACAGCCACTGAAGATGACTCCATATTTCTGGGGTGTGAGTAGTTTTAGCTTCTCTGATTAACAGGCTTATTCTGTTTTTAAAGATTTTTTTAAGAGTGATTTTAAATTGAAAGTGCTTTTTAACATTTAAATAGAATTTGAGTTTATATGATATGTTTGAGTTGTCTCCATATGTAAACATTTCACAAATACACATGTATTTTACTTTTTGTGTTTTCCAAACCTTAATTAATGATCATGAATAATATTTTAAAAATGAAAAAATTGTATGTTTAAAATTTTGGCCATGTTATTTTAAGCACCTAAGTGAATTGCCTTTGGAAGAACTGAGATGCAGTCTTCAAACATTTGGATGGTTGAAGCAAGGGTCTCACATACAGTTGCATCCGAAGGAAAATGTGCTTTTCAACTTCAGATTGAAAATATATTAAATTTCCTTTCTGGTATCATGCTTTTGATAATAGGACATCTCCAAGTTTGCAGAAAAAGACAACACCATTCTTGGAGAAGGTGGAGTCACACTGAGTGGAGGTCAACGTGCAAGGATTTCCTTAGCAAGGTGAACATTTAACTGTTGCTCCCCTGACCACTTCCTATAAATATCATGCTTTTATTTTTATTTGTTTATACTTGTTTGCTTTGTTGCATGTATTGTTATAAACAGAAATCTATAGAATTCTGAAAAGAACAAGGAGGCAAAATTACAAATTTCTGTTCAATGCATCATGAATCCTCTCACTGTCCCTAGATACCTCCATCTTAGGTTTCTGTTTATGCTTCTCAGTTTAGATGAAATGCAATTGCTATTTTTAAAATTTAGAACATAATTATTGATTTTATAGCAAAAATAGTAAGACAAATGATGTCACTAGGACTAAGACTTCTTGTTTGTTTTCAGACAAGGTTTCCCTATGAGGAACTCATGATCTTCCTGTGTTTGTTTCTGAGTACTAGGATTACAGGTGTGTGCCACCACCACACACAGCGAGAATTTATGCTGAGCACATGCTTTATCTGTGATTCTGATTGTAGACCTGGTCATGTGACTACAAGAAAGTGCTCTGAGAATTTAGAAGCTGTCAAAAAGAAGCACATATAATTTTTGTCAGGAAGAAAATATCTTATTTAAATGTAGCTCTGTTCAAAGACAATTGGTGATATGGGATTTCAGATGGTCTCTAGTTTTATACAAAATTCTTTCTATTATGTTACCAAAATTGTTAATGAGAAATTTCATTGACTCAGTAGTATTTTGACCCTTTCTCTTTTACTTCCCAAACCCTGAGAAGTAAACACTGAGTAACCACAACTAATGTCTTGATACCCCCCTCCCGTGTGTGTGTGTGTGTGTGTGTGTGTGTGTGTGTGTGTGTGCTCTCACAAGCTCCATACAACCCTACTAGCAGAAATTGTTCTCTTCGTTTTATGGAAGAAATCACAAGATAATTGAGGTAGTCAGACATTAACTTGGAAAAGCCACAGGGAAATGGTACAGTCACTATTTAATCCAGGTAATCTTGACTCCTTATATTCAACTGTGCCTTGATCTTGAGATTACGCTTGATACAGAGAATTCACAGATGGGATGATGGCTTCATAATTATTTGGAAGTTAATTCCCTTATCTGATACTTAAGTAAAGTATGGTATGTGGCTTCAACATAGTATTTATATTTACTAGTTTAAGATTTCATCATATTTGCTATGTACAATGTATAATAATACTGAAAACAGATGGTTCTTGTTACTGTCATTCAAATGTTCAGTTTTTCATCTTCTTTTGTTTGATGAACACACACACACACTCACCTCCACACACATGGTACACATGCATGCAGTCAAAACACTCAACATAAAAAAATTAAAGAAATTTAAATAGCTTGTGTGTTGCTTCTTAATGTAAATTATTAATCCTTCCCTATGTGTAACATCCATGAAAGAGTTATAAGGAGCAGGTGCAAAGTAAATTATTTCATTATTCCTCACCTGATACAGTTTACAGTACTGATAGCATAGGTATGGGAACAGTAACTAACAGTGCTGCTTCTACCCCGTGTTGTAAAAAGTGTACTTTCATTGTAGGGATCTGATGACAGTTCTTTCTTTATTTATTTAAATTAGAAGCAATCTTATTTTACATATAAATCCCAGTTCCCTCTCCCTCCCATCTTCCCATGTTCCCCACTGACCTCCCCATCCCATCCCTCTTCTGCTCCCCAGGGAGGGTGGTGCCTTCCATGGGGGATTCTCATTTGGGGCAGGGCCTAGGCCTTCCCCTGTGGGTCTAGACTGAGAAAGTATCCCTCTATGGGAATGGGCTTCATTCGTACACTAGAGATAAATACTGTTCCAGTACCAGAGGCCCCATAGACTGGTGGCAGTTCTATAACATATGCCAGGGCTTTAAAATATCAGTTCTAAATGAAATACAAATAAAAGGAGGGGCCCTAACTTCATTTCTACTTTGTTTACAGAGCAGTATATAAAGATGCTGATGTGTACCTCTTGGATTCTCCTTTTGGATATTTAGATGTTTTAACTGAAGAACAAATATTTGAAAAGTATGTTTTTTGACTCACTTATAATGCTCATGCTAAAAGATCACAAAATTTCTGTATCATCATAAGGTGCATATTAGCTCTAGAGCAGTGGTTTTAACTTGTGGATTGCAACCCCTTTGGAGAGTGAACAACCCTTTCTCAGGGGTCACATATCAGACATCCCACATATCAAATATTTACATTATGATTCAGAACAGTAACAAAATTACAGTTATGAATTATGATGAACTGTATTGAAGGGTTGCAACATTAGGAAGCAATATATCCATCATTTGTATGACTCAGAACAGGAGAATATAAGATATTACTTATTTAATTCTGGCCAAGGTTGAAGATTACTTCTATCAAAATCTGTTCTGATGATCACTTGTGAAGCCAATTTCTTTGATTGTTGTCCTGTTATAACAATTGATATTTAAGTATTTTTTACATTATCGCTGTCTTGAGATATGTCTTCCATTATTGTAAGAAGTAATATTTTTTAAAATTTTACTTATCTTTCTGTATTAGTATTTTATGTTATGTCATACATAAGAAATAATGACTTGTGTAATGGTGAATGCCCATACTGTGCCTCTGCATTAGTCCTTTCTCTTTCTTGGACCCAGCCCCACCTGGGTCACAGAGAACTTGGATGTCTACTTCTGTAAAGTTCTTATTAGAGCCCAGTGGGTATGAAATTCCTAAGTGGTGCAGTTAGTCATATGACTTGATTTCTAATTTTAAAAAATAACGTCATGGACAACAAAATAGTTTATTAGAATAGACAGTATAGTCCTCTAGAAACAAAAGTTTTTTAAGTGATAGGATCTGGTTTGTGTGTGCTAAATAATTTAATTATTTATAGGTTCATTTCAAAGTTTCACTTTAGGACATTGCCAATGATTGAAATATTTTAGAGTCCTGCTTAGTTTCCTTTATGATAAATTAAATAATATGTTTTTTTTACAAGACAGGGTTTCTCTGTGTTGTTTTGGAGGCTGTCGGTCCAGCCTGGCCTCGAACTCACAGAGATCCGCCTGCCTCTGCCTCCCGAGTGCTGGGATTAAAGGCGTGCGCCACCACCGCCTGGCTAAATAATATGTTTTAATTCTGGACTTAACTACATTTAACACATGAAACACACAGAAGGCCCCTGTCCTAAAGCTACTTTTATTTTGGAGGGACTAATTTCAAATGATTTTGTTTGACATTTTCAGTTTATGTCTCATTTAAATTAAGTGTATTAGCATGGCTTATCTAGTCACAATCCCAAGAACATATTATCCCCAATCTCTGAATGAAATGCCAAGTCCCATCAACACCATCTCCACTCCACACTTAATAATCCCCAGTTTTGCTGATACGCTTCTGAATAACACTATAGTAAAGAAGTACGTACATGATAAGTCATCTTAACAGTTCGCTTCAGTCTTCCCTTAATTAATTTTAATCTAATGAAAAAGGCTATAGGAGGCCCTGGTCATGTTTGTACTTCCCTTAAAGCTTAGTGCATCATCTCCTTCAATATAGTCTTGCATTAACATACCTGTTACCTTGAGTCTATGAAGTTGCTCTGCAATGGCCATTGCATCAAGGCCTCTGAGTTCATACAGTCAGAATGCTAAATAACCATGACTACTTTAATCATATAATTCAGCTTAAGACAAAAATTTTCTAAGACATTAATAAAATGCAAGAGCACAAACTCTTGAACAGTACACTATGATACAGGCTCTTTGTGATGCCTTAGCAGGAAGGTTGTTCCAGAATTTCACATGAACCATTCGGTTGGGTCCAGGGCACTAATTACCCTTGCCTGGGTTACTTGTTCAGATCTTCTAGGAGTCATTGTGCTGGTTTTGTTTATTCAGTTGTTGTTTGTTTTGCTTTACCTTCACTGTAAAGGGAATAAACAGCTCTGATTTTAAGAGCTGGATGCTCCTTTGGTTCTGGGACTTTGCTTAGTTCCAGCAGTATGGGCTTGTATCAAAGCCTTCCCACACGTTTGCCTTTTATAAGTCTATTCTCTGCAGGCCTCTCTAGTTTGAGACAGAGAAAATTCCATTAAATGTAATACACCCCAATACTGCCTTTATGATGTTGTGACTATAATAACTATTATCTTACTTCATAAACTTAGATATTGTTGTTTAAACTTGAGGCTATTTATTTTTTGTATTTACTGAATAAAAGAAACTGCTTCCCCCCAGAGTGTATGCTTCAAGATTTACTTTTAAAGTATTGTTGTTATACTTTGCTTAAAAACAGATTAGTCAACAGAAAATGCATGAGAAAATTAATTAAAAAATTAAAACCAAAAATCTCTGACATTTAAATATATAATGAAATATAAACTTTCAGGAACATTAAAGATCATCTAACAATTCCTTTGTTTTCTAGAGAAATAAAACAAGACCTAAGAGAAAATGATTTGTTTAAAATCAGATAATTATTGATTATCAAAAATTGAATTTCATTCTATGTCTACTAGTATTCACCTTACAACATGATAAGATATTTCATGCTGCAATACAAGAAGCACCTAATAGTTACTGTGGAGTACATATCCATGTAACCACATTAAGTTAAGTGGTAAAATAACATGATAAAGATTTTATGCAGTGAAACGATAATATGCTAAAATTAAATATACATTACTATTTGTGAATTAAATCTTATATATTTTTATATTTCCAAAGCTGTGTCTGTAAATTGATGGCCAACAAAACTAGGATTTTGGTCACTTCTAAAATGGAACACTTAAAGAAAGCTGACAAAATACTAATTTTGCATGAGGGCAGCAGCTATTTCTATGGGACATTTTCTGAATTACAAAGTCTACGTCCCGACTTCAGTTCAAAACTCATGGGGTATGATACTTTTGACCAGTTTACTGAGGAAAGAAGAAGTTCAATTCTAACTGAGACCTTACGCAGGTTCTCAGTAGATGAGTCCTCTGTCACCTGGAACAAAACCAAGCAGGCATTTAGACAGACTGGAGAGTATGGAGAAAAAAGGAAGAGCTCTGTTCTAAATTCAGTCACCTCTATGAAGAAATTTTCCATTGTGCAAAAGACTCCATTGGTCATAGAAGGAGACTCTGATGAGCTCCAAGACAGGAGACTCTCCCTCGTTCCTGAGTCTGAACCAGGAGAGGCAGTCCTGCCTCGCAGCAACATGATCCCCACTGGCCCCACATTTCCAGGCAGAAGAAGACAGTCTGTTTTGGACCTCATGACATACACACCCACCCAAGGCTTCAGCAACATCCAGAGGACAAGGACGTCCATTCGAAAAATCTCCTTAGCTCCTCAGATAAGCTTAAATGATGTGGATATATATTCAAGACGGTTGTCTGAGGACAGTACATTGAATATCACTGAAGAGGTTAATGAAGAAGATTTAAAGGTATGTGCCTTCCATGTCTGAAGAAGCCCTCATCATAACTCTATTTTCAGTAAGTTTTGCTACGTATTAAATGTTGCGCAGCATTCTCTGATAGTCTCTGGGTTAAGGGTGAAATTACGTATGTAAGCAACTTCCAAATATAAAACAACAACTATTTCTGATTGTAATTGAAATCTCACTTCTCCCCAAAAGTTGTAAGCCAAGCAAGGGCTTAGTATTGAGTCCCTTTACTAGGTCCATGATATGATACGTGTTATTATAAATTAATAATTTTCTGCGTTAGTGGTTTTCTAGAACAAAATGGAGTAAAGTATTATATAAACAAATGGTTGCATTTATGTAGACATCAAAGTGTTTCTAAACATGTATGGCCTAGATATGGATTATGAATACCTGGCTTCTTTTTTTTTTTTTTTTTTTTTTTTTTTTTGGTTTTTACGAGACAGGGTTTCTCTGTATTGTTTTGGAGGCTGTCAGTCCAGCCTGGCCTCGAACTCACAGAGATCTGCCTGCCTCTGCCTCCCGAGTGCAGGGCTTAAAGGCGTGCGCCATCACTGCCCGGCCAATACCTGGCTTCTTGACAAGACTAATTAACATTCAAGCCTGAATTCAGTTAATGTGCACTTTCTGATTTTTCAGATTTATGTGTTATGTTTTTGAAAGTTTTTTTTCAAAAGAAGCTATGTGAAGCTCAACATGTATCTACCAATATTAAGATTGAAGGACCATCACTATGTAGAGTTCATCAGAATGTCCTGTGACTAATGGAGTCTTTTGATCAATGGAAAAGCAAAATGACTTTTCTTAAAATAGAAAGCGATGCAAAACAGGGGGGCTATTGTTTACTAAACAATGCATGTGCCTTAGATGAAGTTAAAAACAGAGTCCTAGTAGATGCGCATGTTTAATGGTGCAAGTCTTTAATAGAAAGTTATCATTTGGCCAATCACAAGTCATTTCATATGTCTGAGTTGAGCTCACTGTGTTGTGAAATAAAGGGATCAGTAATTGCCCCAAAATATACATTCAGTATTTCCATACATTTAAAATGATTTGCTAAAAGATAATTCATTTATATTATTTAACATCCATCTACATGAAACTCCCAAATCTAAGTCTATAAATTTTAATGAGTATGCATTTAATAAATGATTTCTTTGACTATTATGTTGCTAGGTCATCAATTACTTTACTTTCCAGGCTACACACTATCCCCTTCATTATGATAGAAGGTCATATTTTTGCCCCTATTTGCAGAAAAAGAAAATAAAGTTCTGAGAAATTCAGCACCAGATACCCATTCAATCATCCCAGGCTGTTACTTGTAGGTCTTGAATTCAAATAAAGGCCAATCCAGTCCCACAGTCTAATTTCTACTCAGTGAACCTTACTCCTGGTTTACAGGACTCCTTCTTTGTGAGTCTAATACCACTATTTCATGAAATTTTATGAGGAGCAACCCTATCTTTTTCCTTTAGAATATATAAGGATACTTTTCCCCCCACATTTTAAAATATGTCTTCCAAAAGACAAAGGCTTTTAGAGGAATACATTTACGATTAGAATTCTATAATTTAAGTCTTAATTTTTAAAAAAGTAGAATGCCTAAGGGATATGCAAATGTAAGCCAGCTTTTTAAAATTAAAACTTAGTAGCTAGCCAGTCTTGTCCATGGGTCACTGCAACAAGTTAAATCAAGGACACTTTGGGACCTTCTGATAGCACCACTCATCTGACAAAACATGTGGTGCTATGAAGCATTTAAGTGCTACCACTTACAGTCACTGTGCTTCTTTTCAAACTTACATTGCTCCAGCAGACATCCTATTGATGTGACCATGACATATGGCAGTTCTAATACTTTGTATTTGCTAAAGCCACTTAGCCATATGTGTTCCTTTACTTCCCTGAATTATAAATGAAACCTCAGTGGTGGCATGGACTAGGTTTGTTTCAGAATCACACTTCTTTCCTCAGGAGTGTTTTTTTGACGATTCGGTGAAGATACCCACGGTGACAACATGGAACACATACCTCCGATATTTTACTCTCCATAAAAGCTTGCTTATAGTGCTGATTTGGTGCTTGGTTGTTTTTCTGGTTGAGGTAAGAATGTTTGGTTGTAAACTGTTTGTGTGACTATATGAAGGGATTGCATTGGTAAGGACACATACATATAAATGTACATATGTATTTCTCAGTGGTAGTTGTCTGGATAGTTCATAGCTTCTGAAAGCCAACAGGAGCATGAGGGTTGGCCCAGTCGTTAAGGGCACTGACTTCTTCTCCGGAGGACCAAGTAGGATTCCTAGCACCCACATGATGGTTTATGATCGTCTTTAACTCCAGTCCCAGGGAATCTGGTGCTCTTTTCTGGCCTCTGTTAGTACCACATATGTGTGGTGGCCAGACGTATATGCAAGCAAAGCACCAATACACATAAAAGTAAATAAAAATTTAAAAACGTCACAATTAGTATTACTATTGATATTTTAGTATTTCAGATATAACATAAAATATACTTTAACACAAATACTATATATTAAGAATTCCCATAAAATAAATGTTATTGAGAATATTTACTATATTCAACATATTTAAAGATTCATACATATTATAAAAAGGCTACTATAACAAAGCCAATAATACAACCGTCATCTTGAATAAATGTTTTGTTTTTGTGATAAGAGCCACTAAAATCCACACAGCTAGCATGAATCCCAAGTACAGTATAGTTTTATTGCCTATAATCTTCAGTCGTTCATTATATCTCTATATATTTAGTTTTTAACAGATCCAAAAGCTTAGACTATTAGGAGTATTAATTGTAATTGAATGTTGATTGAAATTAATCACTGAAAGGAATTCCAGGTATTATTCTAGTAACTATGCATGTGGTGACTCGTGGTGGTGGTGACTCTTTTTCATCTGTAGCAACTTTGTCTCAGGCAGCTTCCTGTATGTTAACCTAATACACGTGTATGCACTATTATTTCGCTCCATTATTTTTGTGTTGCTATCATAATGCACCCAACAATTAAGGAAAGAAGGATTAATTTTGGCTTTGTGTTTGAGGGGATATATTCCTGGAGGCTGGGAAGGCATGGCAGCAGGCGTAATAGGGTGGTGGGCCATATTGCATGCATAATCTAAAAGCAAATAATGGACAGGAAGTAGGATCAGATTGAAAATCTTGAAGGACTTTACCCAAAGATCTACACTCTCCATTAACACTCAATAGCCTGAAGATTTCACAGCCTTCCTAAATAGTACAATAGCTTGAGACCAAACATTCAAACACATGAGTCTATGGGCCACTTCATATCTAAATCATGAATACTCAACTGAGAAAAAAAGGACATCTTACAGTTAAGAAATTAACTATTGAAGAGAAAGCAATTGCCAAGTAACTAACTATTCATTGTTCACTGAGCTGCCACTATGGGAGGAAGGAAGGCAGGAAGGAAGGAAGGAAGGAAGGAAGGAAGGAAGGAAGGAAGGAGAGAGAATAAGAAAGAAAAAGAAGGAGCAAATGAAAAAAGAAAGGAAAGAAAGACAGACAGAAAGAGGGAGGGAAAGCTGGGCGTTGGTGGCGCATACCTTTAATCCCAGCACTCGGGAGGCAGAGGCCAGCCTGGTCTACCGAGCAAGTTCCAGGACAGCCTCCAAAACAATACAGAGAAACCCTGTCTCAAAAAACCAACAAAAAAAAAGAAAGAAAGAAAGAAAGAAAGAAAGAAAGAAAGAAAGAAAGAAAGAAAGAAAGAAAGAAAGAAAGAAAGAGGGAGGGACAGAGGGAGAGCGGACAAGAAGGAAGAAAAGGAAAGGGAAGGGAAGGGACATAAAGGGAAAGGAAGGGGAAAGGAAGTCATGGTGGACAAGCATCAGTCATGCCCTCTTGGGGACAGGGAGCAGTCTAATGGCATGATTTCCCCCCAATATCTGTTGGCAGTAGCCAGTTAAGTAGGTCTCAAAAATGCTGAGTAATAAGAAAAGTAATAAGAGAAATATAGTAATTTTTAAATGATGTGTGTGATTTTATAGCTAAACACCATATTTGCTAATGTCTGCAATTGTGTTACTTTGTTTAATCAAAATTTACATAGATTTTTCTTTAGATTAAGCTTTTTTTATTATCAATCTGTGCATTCCTTTTGATTCCTGGTACATTCCATTATGGAACAGGTGCCAATCCACAATGGTAGTTTAGTTCTTGTAAGACTGATAAATCCTTATATTTAATGATGAAAACTACCCACAGAAACACCAAGATGCACATCTTCCTCCATACCTATTTTAATAAAGGCTATATTTCCATTTATATTTATGATTTTATATCATTCATTCAGTGTTTCCTTTTTGTAATATGAAATAAGTTTAGCAACTCATCCCTTCTTTTCCTATTTCTTCACAATTACTAAAGTAGAGAAAACCCTCAATTTTTAATTTGCTAATATTTTTCAATCGTGTCATTTTGAAAAAGTGTATATTTTATAAATTTTCCGTAAAAAGTAGTGTCTTTTATTAGTTCTTATTAACACTAAGCAAATAGTTTAATATTTCTACTGTGCTACTCTTTCTAGTGCCCCTTCTTGGCAATGTATCATGGACTAGAAAGGGAAAATGTAAACAGTCGATTAAGGGATGTTTCCTGTTTTCTTTACAATAACCAGAGGATGTTTTGACTGTAGCATCTGAAGACCCTGTTTACTCTTTTGTCTTATGGTCTTTAACCCTGCTTCAGAGAGCTGCTGTTTCTTTAGACCGTAAATCAAGAATCCCCAAGTGACTGCATCAGTACTAAAATAGAGACATAGGGTGTTCCCATAATACTACCTTTGCTGTCAATGATAGCCCTCTCAGGGTATGTCATTTATTTGTGGATGTGTACTTTAGGGCATTTTTTGTCACATGAAATACGTAAAAATCTGTTAATTAAAGTTAACATTAGCATCATGTTTAACCTCCCCAGTTTAGAAATGGGAGATGACTATAATTTATTTTGTTGCTGCTATGTCTTAATCATTGAGGAGTATCCCTCTTTCAAAAATTACACGAACTTTATAAAAGCCTTGAAGCATTCTGGAGTGAAATTATAGAGTTACTCTATTGTTTCTGTAACCCTCAAATATTTTTCCTAAAGGCCTCCTACAAAGTCTTTGAACATGCTTTTACTATAGTCAGTAGAAACAGTTTGGATTGATGAATTCATGTGATAGCCAGGAAATAACTTTACATTAGGATCTAGGCCCATTCTTTAGAAAAGTTGTTTGTTGTTCCATTCATAAACATCTGTTCTGGGGTTTACTCCTATTCAGAGTGTTGGCAATGGCAGAATTACTGACTTTCTTATAATTGGAACAAAGGATGAGTGTAACAATTGAGTCTCTCAGTACATGTGCCTCATCTAGAGACCTGAGTATTCAATTAGTCTGAAGACAGATGAAGACATTTGTAAAAGAACAAAGACTTTGAAAAAACTTACTGTTGTTGGATTTCTTGTTGTTTTACACTGACTTCAATCTCTAGAAAACAAAATTTTTCTTTTTTACTGAAACAGTACATGGAGACTATGCATATGATGAGAAAACATGATGATCAAAATAATGCCATTAGGTTTTCATTATTAAAATTAATAAAATAAAGTAAAATAATTTTTTCTTTAAGTAGCTAATTCTTAACTTTCCCATAGGACTAAACTCATAGTGCTTGAGGAATAAATGAGGGAATAGACAGAATGAGTGAGAATGGAACTCCATAAACTTAATTTGCTCTTGCCCCACTAGTGTCACTTAAAACAATTACTGCAGCTGCTGACTCCAGAAGTCCAAAGCCAAGAATTGAAAGTGTATTCACTTTGATGTTGGTCATGTGGAAATGGTGTGGAAAACATAGGTAAAGATGCTAGAAAAAAATCAACTGTGTATTGTTCCATTTCAGGTGGCTGCTTCTTTATTTGTGTTGTGGTTGCTTAAAAAGTGAGTACTCCACACATTGTGGATTTTGTTTTGTTTTCATTTGAAGATTATAAAGTATTTCCATATCTACTATGCTTCATTGTGCCCTCCACATTCTTCCAAATTATGAGAGGAGAAAACAGGTAACAGTCATTGTTCAGTTTCTGAGGAGATTGGGTTCCAGGTGAAAGGTACTAAATTCTGCACTGCAGCCCCATATATAAAAGTGTATGGTACTTCATGTATCCCATGCATGTTACCACATACTCTTTAAACTAGCTCTAGATTTATATGATGCTTTGTATTGTGTAAATTTTATGCAAGTGATTGTTATAGTGAACCATTTAGGGAAATGACGACAAGAAAAATAAGTAAGTGCATGTTCAATAAAGATACAATTTTAAGAACCATTTCTTCAATCCAGTGGTAGCTGAATCCTCAAAAGATCCGTGAAGTTTACTATATTTGTTCAAGATGAAAGCTGTTTAGTGCCTTCAGCTCTTCATTTATATCTAAAAAATACTGGTTGTTTTCAGTTTCCATGAAATGCAATAAGATACATAAAGGAACATTTTGCATTTAATAATTTATACTAAGTATTTTACTTAAATGAGTATCAGTTACATCTATTTCAATTATAAGAAAACTTAAAACTTTTTTCAAGACAAAATCCATCAAATTAAGGGGTTGCCTTTTTAAGCCAATAGTTCATGCTTCTTTATACTTATTTTTCTTATGATTCAGTGGTAAAATAACACTTTTTTTGTTTTCCAGCAACCCTGTTCACAATGGAAACAATGGTACTAAAAGTACAAATAACACCTATCTTGTGATTATCACCAATACCAGCTTCTATTATATTTTTTACATTTACGTGGGAGTGGCTGACACTTTGCTTGCTTTGGGCTTCTTCAGAGGTTTGCCGCTGGTACACACACTAATCACAGCATCAAAAATTTTACACCAGAAAATGTTGCATTCTATTCTTCATGCACCAATGTCAACCTTCAATATGCTGAAAGCAGGTACTTTTGATTAGTTGTATAAAACTAATTTTGTCATAGTGTGATTCCGATGCAACAGTTTCAGTAGAAGCCGCCTCTTTTGGATAACTTGGACTTTTTCTTTTCACATACTTGGTCTAGCTTTTTCCCAGGCATCATATGGTCATGTATAATATTGTTTACAGGAGGAAGAAATTTGAAGTTGTCATGGAAAAACATAAAATTCTATTATGAAAAGTGTCTTGATGGGGAGAATAACTGTTTGATGAGACTCTTCGAGAGTGTTCATAGGAATGTATTAAAGAACCTTGTGGGGTAGGGGAAGATTTTAAATATATTTTGAGACAACTGCAGTGCATGGTACGTGGTATCAGGCATTTTGACACCATTGTAATTACAGTCCCCTAAAGTAAGAGAATTGGGAAAAAGAACCAAACATTTGAATATCAGTGGTAATAAGGTTCTTTGAAAATGCTTACTTTTAAAGACTGTGAATATAATGAGATTCCTAAGTGTTCTGATGGCAGTAACTGGAGATCCTTCTGTGTGGTACTAAGCCAGGGAAAGCCTGGCACATAAATATGAACAAGATTTCATTCTTTCTCCAGAGGTGCTCACAAGCAAGGAGAGATATCAGGCATAGTAATTATACTAAATGTAAAATAAATTGGAGAACTGAGACTTTTTAGCATGGTCTGTCTCTAAAAACTTCAAAATACATGCACATCAGGTGTTCTAGATGACAAAAATTAAGTGTTGGTATACTAGAAAGATAATTTTTTCTGGAGCCCTTATATCTCACCAAAGGTTTGCCTCATTTGTATATGCTTCTGGTCATCCTCTTTCGCTGTAACAATTTTAGAATTAAGGGAATGACCAATTCACTTGATCTGGTGAGTTTGCTTTTATAGAATTCTGAAACCCTGAGAGGGTAGGGGTTTAACCCGTTTCTGGCAAACTAAACCATGGGCCATGAATCACAGTGGAAAGGACACAGACATTCGAGTCTAAGTTTGGCGACACATGAATGGTTATTATTGTTGTTAACGTCCTATGTGAAATAAATGCTAGCGTCTTTTTGTTATTGCCTTCTGTGGGTGTTGCTCCCGAAGGAAGCCCACTTCTCTTTCCCTCTCCAGAGCACCTCCCTCTCCTCACAACCAATCATAGTGCAGTCTGTCTTCTCGGTTTCACGCATTAGTGACCAGCACACATTCCTCTTTTCTCATTTGCCTCCTGAATATTCATCTGTTTTTAGGTTAACTTCTAATTACCTTTGTGTTATTTGCGTTCCTCCTTATTCATCCTCTTGAAAACTAAAATAACAATTTGATCTTAGAACATTTCCCTTTGGCCTGCTCTCATTTTTTGTCGTTGTTGTACATAAAATTTTTGCTTTCTGTTGAATAAAAAAGCTGTTAGATTTGTGGCATATGATTATTCTTCTTGTTACCTAGCTATTCTGTTACACTTGACAACAACCCCTTGGAATTTCTCCTAGATATGCTCTTCAAAATCATACCTTGACCTTGATTTTCCATGACCTTCATTTTCTCTGGCTCTTTGACTTTCTTATGCTACTTTCCCCCACCTTGTCATACTCAAGTGACTTTGTACTCATGCAGGCTCATAATTTAGGTCCTCAGCAAAGTGTGGTTATCTTAGCTAGAACACTGCTGGTTGAAATAAAATTTGAAATATAAACATCATTATAATGACACTCTTTGGCAAAGTAAACTTTGTAAATGGTAATTTTAAATGTCATGGGGTATGCATTCCTTGTCTGGGTTGTTTATGAGAGGATATACCAATATTATTAATGAATATGTTAACTAATATATATCACATGTCTACATAAGGCTTTTTGCTTTTGTTTTGGGTCATATAAAATAAACATGGAATAATACTATTCACCTCAAAAATCTACCGTGTGGGAATAGAGATATAACATATGTGCACTCACAAGCAACTATGATACACAGCATATATGTAATCTCTGCAACAAGGAGAGGAAGAAATTACTTCCAGATTCAGCAAATACCAAATAAGTCTTGCAGATAGGGCATTTAGTTGAGCCAGAAAAGAGGTACAAATTTGGCAAAAGGGTATGAGGAGAAAGAGTTAGATAGAAGGAAACAACGCAGAGGCAGAGTTAGGGAAGGCTAGACTGTCTAAAGAATAGACACCTTTATCTCAGTGTTTTTGAATAGAGGAATCAAGGTTAGTTAAGGACAAATTCTTGGAAAGTATTAAATATTTTAAATATTAAACAAAGAATTTTGTACTTTATCCTGCAGTTAATAGTGAAAGAATGATAAGGTTATTACAATGTTGTCATAGTATAATGCTATGCTTTATCAAATTGCTTAGCTCCTTTGTAGACAATGAATCACTCAAGAACAAGGAAGAGTGAGTTAATCACCTCTATCATCTCTGTAGCCAGCATTGTCCCAGACATGTAGAAGGCATGTAATGTTTAGCTCACTTGGGTTGACAAGTAAGACTTAGATGTGTGAGTTTGGAATTTAGAGTGCAGGTTGAAGCTTAGATTAGCAGCGAAGAAGATGGAAAATATAGAAAAAGCAAGTCCCATCTGGCATGTTCTGCAAGAGATAGCTGAGAATTCTGCAGAGTTGCATCTGGAGGGCATACCCACAGAAGGGAGGGTGTGTCTGCCCTGTGTGGTGGAGATGAGTGTAAAGAGAGGATGAACGCACATCTATTAAGGTACCTTAAAACTTAGAATGGCAGAAGTGAGGTCTGAAGGGTAAGATGACCAGCCATACATCACTTTAATTATAATGGGAACCTGTTGTAAAGAGGTTGCTTTAAGCTGACTCTTAGAGGACTCTGTGTTTTATAGAAGTTCAAAAATAGGAGACAATAACTTCAATATATAGTTAGAATTTTGAACAAAGCTAATATTTGATAAATCCTTGATTTTCTGATTAGATAATAATTCTTATTCTAAATGCTTTGGCTGTAATCCAAACTTAGCATGAAATATATTGGTGTCCTTTGATTACTTTTTGAGAATTTTTATTTGTATCACAGGTGGGATTATTAACAGATTCTCCAAAGATGTTGCAATTTTGGATGACTTTCTACCTCTTACCATATTTGACTTCATCCAGGTTTGTACAGAATAACTATCATCAAGAATTTTCTATGAGCCATAAAATTTTCTCGATAGTTTAAAAAAAAAAGCAAGTGAATTTTTGCTAATTTTCCCTGTAATAGTTGAAGTCCTGAATAACAACTAACTTTCCTGGAAAGCAGTCTTTAAAAGTCACAAATTTAATGAACTCAATAACTAGGCAGGTCTGTTTATTTCAGGCAGGCCTACCTCTAGAAACAATAGTATCTGCTTGGATTGATTTGAAGGGCTCAAAAGATCATCTTCCACCAATCATTGACTGTAAAATTCAACTGTTTGAAGGCACCCTCCATTTTTAAGTCACACACTGAAATGAAAATGGAGTCCCTGGATAGGCTACACTCCAACCATACTCATGAGTAATACAAATTAGATACACAGTTTCCCCACAAAATGGGACTCAGCAGAGAGACAGAAAGAAAATGACTTGTTGAAAACATGAGGAAAAAATATTCAGACTCTATGAGGGCTATCCGTCAATAACAGTTGTGTCTAGACCTACAGGTAGCCATGCTGTGAGGCTGACTATCCAATCAATTAATGAAGGTGACCTTGAGCCACATTAGGACTCCAAGGTCACAGCACACAGGGAGTTGTAACCTGATACCCTTGCTGTTGATTGAGGCACAGTGTTCTGAGCTTACTGATGGCTTCCTGATACTTCAGAGACCAAATTCACTTGGAGAAATAGTTGGAACACAACACTGCCCTTATTGGGATGACTCATTCTTATGTCTTGTTTCTTTCTTTTCTGTCCAATATAATAGATTTTGAAAGAACTTGAATTAAAAAAAAATAGGGACTATTACACTCTTGTGTATATACAAGCAACATCAGCAGATGCAGAGAAAGACAGCTGTTAGTTTACCTCCTCTGAAATGATTGACATAATCAAATACTGTTCTAAGTGAACTGTGTTTTGGATTTCCTTCATTGCTGTGTTTAAAGATACAACTTAGCAGTAGCAGCACCTGTTAGAAGTTTTTAACCCATGTTTTGAACCCTGTTTTGATTCAGGTGCTCAAAAGTGTGACTTTGTGTCTATTTAACACTAAACATTAGTTCCCCATTCCAGGAAAGTAAATAATAGGTGTATAATATGAGTATACTAATAAAATATAATGCAATATAATTAGATACTCAGTAGATTGTGGACATCTATCTTGGTCTGTGTGCAAAAGTATTAAAACTGGTGCTGATTGATAATATTTCCTTATGTTGGTGGTCTACTGTGTGTCTTCTCTCAATTTAAAGTTCACCTCAGAAATCTGAGAGAGTTGATTTTCAAGTATTTATCCTACAAATTAAAGTTTTGCTTTTACATTCGTTATGGCTTTCAAGTCCCATGTAGCTTGAAAAATTTCAGCTCAAGTCCCAGAGCTGGTAAGGCTTCATGAAGTAGCGAACAACTGAAAGATTTCCGTAGATCTAAGATCTACTGTAACCATTCCCTATAATGGCATCAGCTAGCGAACCCATGGAACCCAGTGAAGAATTGGCTTGTTCATTAACATATGGAAGTCACACTAGGTTGGCTTTAAAATGATTATTATTTATGGCTAACATATCCAAATGAGCTATTGTGAAATAAATATTTGGGAATGTTTTATCTTTTAAAAATAATGTGTGCTTGATGTCATGTAGATCATCTATCTGGTAAACATATACCAATATTGCAAACAGCATTCTAACTTTCTGGGAGATAATGTAGAGATATGTCTGTGTTGGTAGGCAAAACACATTTTGACAGTGTGGATAGGAAAAAATGCTTAATTTTAAATTAAATCCACCACCTACCATAATCTTTTTGAGTTATTAGAGTATCTCTAATTATTACAATAGGAATAGTTGAGTTTTGTAAAGGGAGTAAGACATTAAATAATACTTTCAACATTTAATGTGAAAAGCTTGGGTCAGAAAATTGAACTTACCTACATGACTAAACCTATATTTAGAACAGTTATTTGTCACCGAAAATGCTCTGTTAAGAATGCACCATTTTAAAAAAACTCTCTTAACAAAATCATGAAAATTAACATTTACACTTGTATTATTTCAAAAGATTCATTGTTTCAAAGGATTGGATGAAGAAAATCATAGTCATGTAAAATTTACTTACTACACAGTTTATATCTGATAAATAAAATCACCCTAAGATCAGAAAGCACCATGTAAAACTTCAACAATTTACATATCAGCAAACTAAGCATTTTTAAAAATTGTTTCCATGTAGCCTGAAGAAACTGCTTTGAGGCAGCATCTCCCTTGGAGAATGCACTGTTTCCTTATTAAGAACAGAGCAAGTGCAATAATCCGTGCAGATGTAAGCCACCAATGCACTGTGTCCTCTTTCCAAAGTGAAATCCTTCCTCACAACCATGCTTTCTTTCCACCACAGTTACTGTTCATTGTGATTGGAGCTATAATTGTCGTGTCGGTTTTGCAGCCCTACATCTTCCTGGCAACCGTGCCTGGGTTAGTGGCCTTTATCTTACTGAGGGGATATTTCCTTCATACCTCCCAACAACTCAAACAACTGGAATCTGAAGGTACAGCATGGGATGGAAGTGCAGGGTTCCCCTGGAATTAAGGGAGCCACAGGAGCTATTTGTGAATCACTACCATTATCCTACTTTCCAAAAAAAAATGTTTCCTGCTTTAATATCTAATATTGTATAACCATGGTATATGTGTGTGTGTGGGGGGGAGATGCTTGCCCATGCTAACCAGACAGAATTCTTCATTGTCCTTAATGTCTTGGCTTTTTTTGGTTAATCTTTGCTTGAGCTCTTTAGGGAGTATGTCTTTCAAAGGAAGCCTTGGTGTGGGGAAATTTTCTTTAACAGAATAAGCTTATAGTGTTTCTTCTTTGAAACTTCAAAGTTAAATCCATTCAAAGAAAATTTTCATTGAGAGATTTAGAAAATTGACTCTAAGGACAAAACTCATTTTCTCAGCAGTTAGGAATTTAGGATTAGCAAAGAATAATGACTACTGTTTGCCAAGAATTGTGAGTTATAAAGAAGAATAGTTCTGTACTAAGTTATCACCCATAGTTGACTGGTAAAAGGGAGGGACATGCATTATAAAAGTAAGCTCTTGTTTCAGGGTAAGAGCCCCTCCAACCAGTGATGCTTATGGTGTTGTTATTCCTAAGTTAATCTTTGTCAGAACATGGTAATGTGAAATTCTGTTCTGTATTACAAGCTTCATGTTATCTCCAATGGAACGATTCACAGGCAGGAGTCCAATTTTCACCCACCTTGTTACAAGCTTAAAAGGACTGTGGACACTTCGTGCCTTTGGACGCCAACCCTATTTTGAAACTCTGTTCCACAAAGCTCTGAATTTGCACACTGCCAACTGGTTTCTGTATCTGTCAACCTTACGCTGGTTCCAAATGAGAATAGACATGATTTTTGTCCTCTTCTTCATTGTGGTCACCTTCGTTTCCATTTTGACAACAGGTACTGTGAACTTATTAGCAACTCTGCTGAGCATATAAGTCAAAGTTCTGTCATTGAGTAAAATGCCATTTTTACATTAAAATTATGTTAAACATTTTAGATGTTTTAAAAGACTTTTGGAGCGTATTCACAAGTGCAAGCGATTTCTTTGCATTTCTGTTATTTTGTTTCCAAATAATTTATTTTGTTTAAAGGTTTATATGGTATTTTCCCCTAGCTCCACTGTTTTAAAAGTGATTAGATAATGATTCAGATAGCATGAATGTGATTAACAGGAAAAAAAAAACCTTTTCATGGTAATGCTGGCAAATAATCCTAACTTCAGAATTAATAGATTTCTTTATGAAAAAATTCTCTGAATTGGGAAAGAGAAATGTGCAGGTGCCTGTATGCACCTGCATGTGCACACACACATACACACACACACACACATACACACTCACACAAGTGTGCACATGCATGCGGGCTTCTCTCACCTTTCTTGTAAATTTTCTTCTTTTTACAACTACTTATTTGTAAAATTCTTTGTCTTATATGAATTTTGAATGAATAAAAATTGCCACAGAAGTAAAATAATCCAGATAAACTGCATTATTTTTCAAATACTAAGGTTCAGAAATTTACTATTTTTGTGCAAAAAAGCCATAAAATATGTGGCATAATGTGTGTCAAAAAAGAAAATAAAAGTATACACAGATAAATGAGTGCCTCTAGTTTAAGGATTTCTGAACCAAAATGCTGTATGTTTTATATATAACATTTGATATGTATTAAACATTACATATTATATATATATAGGACACAAGTTCAGAGTGAATGCCACACCAATGCATATTTGCAACATTATTTGATTATAAGAATAGCATTCCTCAACCCTAAAGAAAGCACCATTTGATGAGTTATCAGAAGGCCTCATGCAGCTTCCTGGTGGGTGTCACACTTGGGTAGCAGAGCGATAAGAACAGGCACCGGAGAATCATGCATAGGCATGCTTCTGACTCTTGAACAGATGGATGCTGGCTTGTGTCACCACTTCCTGTGGACACTTCAGTCCTGTCTTGTGTGTATTTATTTTTTCTTACCCCCTCTCTTTCCCTCCCTCCCTCCCTCTCTCCCCCTTCTCTCTTTTGCTTCCCTCCCTCCCTCTTTCCCTCCCTTCTTTCTTTCTTTCTTTCTTTCTTTCTTTCATTTACAAAGATCACCCTCATGAGCTTCATGTGGCTTCTCCATTCTGCCTTTTGAATTAATGCTTGAGATCCTCTAATTATAAAGTCTAATTATAAAGAGAGGATGGAAAGCAGATTCTTTGTATTCCCTGAAGATACACAACTGCTATGAGGATGGTCAACTTCCCCATGCATTGCTTTCTCAATACATCACTGAGAAATGAATCTATGAGAAAGATATAAATGGGTAGGGATGTCTGTGACTCTTTAGCCGTGCAGAAGAGTACCTTAAAATGATTTGGGGGGAACAAAGTGTTGATTATTTTTATATAAGAGGGGATTAAATATAACTAAATTACATGGAGTAAAACTTCTTAATGATTATCACATGCTGTATCATAATAGGTACGATTTTGACCAAATCTTGGCTTACCAAGGCTAGTAGACAAAACATTTAACAATTAGCATTGTACAGCACCTCCTGTTGATATGAGATGCACAGCCCAAGAACTCAGCCATTACCGACCATACTCTATTGGTCTTAACTAATATTAATTTGTATTAACTCACAGGCATGATTAACTTCTCTAATTGCTCTTGTGTGCACAGACACACAGTAATACTTCTCCCATAGTATTGTGACAATTTTTTTTCAAAACAGTGTAGTCTTGTCTGTAACTATTACATTGCTTATTGTTGTAATCATTGAAAATGTATCTTATTTTCAAACAAGAAATATCTAGGGGACCTGGATGAACTTTAAACAATTTTCAATACATAATTTGATGCTAGAAAAGGAGTTATGTGCTATCTGTGGTGGACCTAAACTTGAGAAAATGTAGACATGAAAATTTTCAGTCAATAATAGTATGACTTATTCATATGTGTTTATCATTATGATAATTATTTATTGTTAGACTCAAGTACTATCAGTTGGGACATGATAATCTGAATAATAATAATTTATGAACATTTATCTTGGAAATTTTTATCATCATAATTCTGGATATTTAAATTTTTTAATGGGTTGTGTTTCCTGATCCTAAAAGAAATTTACTCTTAAAACATGTTAGCACTGTCCCTTTTACACATACTAGTTTTTTTCTTCTTTCTTTTAGTATAATGAGCAAACTTCTCTCTTGAGAAAAGGCTGACATTAGTTTTCTGTCTGCTTGGTGACAAAACAAGTCTACTTTCTTCTTTACAACTTCTGATTAGCAGAGACAGTACTAAGCAGATACAGAGCAAAGGTGCTAAGCATGTCTAACCATGATACTCAGACATATGCATCCCTCCTTTGACTTTTTACAGGAGTTCACTTGGACCTAGGGTCTTTTTTCTTATGTTCAGTCTAGTATTTGTTTTTTATTGTTACATATAGACTAATAGTAGAAGAGACATATTTGTTATCTACCTAATACCAACATTACCTTCAGGACCTAAACAGCATTTTAAAGTGCAACAATTTTCCAATATTCAGTCACTATTGACTTTAAAAATTAGTTGAGAGCTTATTCTATGAGGACATTATTGTTCCTAGGAGTCACTAAATCAGCATTAAATTGAAATTTGAATGAAATGATGTGTGATAAGAGAGATATGAGTAAAATAATTCACAGAAGAGAGAAATAACATGCATTTGCTCAAACCCATTTTCCATGTCTAGGTGAAGGAGAAGGATCAGCTGGTATTATCCTAACTTTAGCCATGAATATCATGAGTACTTTGCAATGGGCTGTAAACACCAGCATTGATGTGGATAGCTTGGTAAGTTACTGTTTTTAATTTTATTAAATGTTGAAGCTAGAAACAAAAAACAGGTAATAAGATAAAGAACACACACACACACACACACACACACACACACATACACACATTACCCAGTTTAAGAAATGAAATGTTGTTCCGGTAAATATAAAGATGATCTGTATCATGCATTAAACAGTGACATGATTTATCTTTCATCCTCATGGCTTGTCACTGTGAACAATCTTGTACAAGTCTCCTTGCTCAGGAGATTTCTGGAGCAAATCCTAGGACTGGAAGGAACTGCTGAGAATAGAATTTTCCCAAGCTCAACTTCACTAGCTGATGCCAAATTACTCTGGGGTCCATTGTGCTAGTATATACTGCCACTAATAGAGTATGTGAATGTTTCTAGCAGCATTCGTAGTCAGGGTTTTTTAATTTTGCCAGTCTGAGGAGTTTGAAGTAACTACTAAATTGTAAAGGGTATCTTAATGCCTATTTCTTGTTGACCGTTTGTCTTCTGTTTGTCTTTTCTTTCTGTTAAGTGCTTGTTTATGTTGTTTGCTTACTTCTCAACTAGATAGGATTGTGTTGTTATTTGTTTGTTTTTCTCAATTGATTTGTAGGTGTTTATGGATCCTGGATCAGTTGTCTGTTCTGTATACTTAAATGGCCCTTGAGCCAGTGGCTTTACTCATAGTATCTCTCATTGAATTTGATAGATTAATTGACTAGCCTTTTCCTTCATTACTTCTGCATTTTTCCTGTTTAGAAATTCTTCTGTGTTAAAACTTTACATTCAGCAGCCTGACACTTTTCATAATGTTCTTGTCTTGTTTTTACTATGTCTGGCCTTGGCAACTGTTCCCTCCTCATCCTCAGCGTTATCATTGTTCCTCTTCTTTTCACTTGACCGAGGTTGTCTTGCGTTTTTGTACTTTGTGTGTTCAGAGATTGTATTTTGGCTTTCTTGTGCTTTCTACTATGGATTGAGGACATGAAGTGATATTTATGTGCTAAAATGGTGTCAAGGACTCTTAACCGTATAATGGCCAGGGTGAGAAATGAAAGAAAACTACACATATCTGTATTTATATTTTAATAAGAAATATTTTCACATAGATTTAGAGTTGGTTCAAGAAATTCATCAGATTTATTTTTCAAAGTTTTATTACGTTTATTTGTGTGGGTGAGGGCTGTCCATATTACAGCATGAGTGTGGAGGTCAAAGGGCAACTTGTCAGGTCAGTTACCTCTTTTCACCATGAGTTCTATGGACCTAGCTCAAATCATCAGAGTTAGCAACAATTGCCTTTATCTTCTGAGACATCTTTGCTGACCCTTCATTGATTCTTAGGCTCTTGAACTACAGTCATTCGTTCATTACTTCATTCTGGAGGGTCTAGACCCCAGTTAAAAATCATTATGCAACTTGTTTTACTTATGTTTTCAGATATACATTCATGTGGTTGTAAAATTTCTATAATCAATTTTTCTCAAAACATACAGTCTTTTAAATCCTCTTCTTGTTCATGTGTCTTCATAGTTTGTTAAAGTATCTTAATAATTCGTTTAATGTAGTTCTCTTGGTTTTAAGTTAGAGAGGTTCCTGGTCTCTCCTCCACACTTTTCCTTGGTTACATTTGTTTTGAGAGCTCTTGTAAAGACATAGTATCTGTGGAAAGTAAGCTGAAAAATATTATAGAAATGCTGTTTTTCCTCAAATTCTTACAACTGTGACTTCATAATTCAAAATCCTTGTGTACATTACCTACTTCTTTAAAAAAATCTCTTTACCTTGTACTTTTACAATTCTCTTTGCAACATTAAATTTTTGGCTTAATGACATAGCCAAACTTTTGACATTGGGACAGAATGTTGTCATACACAGAGTTCACACTCAAGATCTGTACAATTGAGGTACAAAAACAAATCACACAATACAACATATGGTTTTTAGTAAGTTTATGATTTTGTGTTGGGTTTTCTTTCGTAGCTCTATTTGACCACATGTAGCTGAATGTGGCCTGTGAACCGCAGTTTCCACACCCCTGTTAGAATAGCATGTGCATAGGATGTCAAAACCTTTGCTCAATAAATTTCTCCACATGTCTGGTGTCCACGAGAGACACTTTAAAGTGTTTTACTTCTCCAGATTTTTCCATGGGTGTGTTGGACTTTGTACCCTATTCTTTGACATTGTATCTCTCATGTGTATGAAAGGACTTTTACAAGAAACTATTGTGTCTATGCTATGGCCTATGAAAATATCAATATTTGATTTCATTTTAAAAGTTATGCTCTTTTGTTTGACAACAAAGAGCATATGTATGTTTTTATTTCCTTGCCAAGCACTGCTGGTGGGCCTTCCTGGGTGTTTGTCATCCCTGTCTGCTATTAACTTGCATCATGCTACTCTCACAGACAGTTCTGCTAAAACTACCTAGTGGTGCTTTTATTGTTACCTCTTCCTTTGAGTCAGAGGGAAGAGAGACTGAACACTGCCTCCAGATTTTATGTACACCTGATCTAACTATCAAGGGTTTTACAACCCTAAGTAAAAGCTCAGTGTGATGTCATTTTACATTACTGTGTTCTTAACTGCATTTTCAGAGATCTGAGTTTTAAATGAAACAAACACAATGTTTTCTTTGCCACACACTTCATTTTAAAACTGTGTGCAAGGCTATGCAGGATAGAGTCTCTGGAGTTGGAGCAATTCATTTACTCATCTATTCCAAACATGGATGCAGAGTCAATTGGACTGTGAAGTTGTAAACATGGCAGACTAACTTTGTTTTCATTCTCTACCATTACCCAACAGACCCCTAGCTTTCTTCAGTTTTCAACTAAAAAAATCCAGTATTATTCAAAACAACTGCTACCTCAAGTTAAACATATATGGAATACTGACACCCAGAACCATCACCCCATCTACTATGTTTTCATAATAAATTTCTTATTTAAAAAGCTTATTCCTTTATTACTGTATCTCTTTAGACATCCTAATAATTCCATTCCTCAAACTCCTAGCCAGTGACTTTGCTGCATATCTCACAGAAATAAATGACCAGAAATAATTACCTCACTGTTCTCTACTCGCTCTTTCTTAATGCATCACACTGCTAGATCATCTTCCAGTGGACATAATATCTCAGAGCCAGAGTTCCCATATAGGCTTATAGACCCTCTAAGTATATACCCACCCCCACTATGTCCTTGCTCCTACATATAGGCCAATTATTATTAGTGGCCTGCCCTTTGTGAGCCTTGTCTCATCAGTGAATACTCTCATTTGGTCTCCAGTTCCCATCCTACCTCTTTGACCTGTTTATAACAAAACCTACCAAGAGATTGCCTTTGTCTGATATATCTTCCATTCTTCACCCAGTTTACATTTTCACCACCCACATGAGTCACAATAAACATCATGTTATGCACAAGGTCATATCTTAGTCTCTTGTAATTGTTGAGCAGTATTTTCCATGGATGAATCCTTATACTTCGTTTTCCTGTTGTCTCCTAGACTGTCATCTCTTGGTCTTTTTAAACATCACTTGTAATATGGCTAGCTTCCATCTGAATTCTCTCTAGATATTTTCAATCTAACCCCATGATTCAAACGCTGTCTCTCTCTCTTTTTTTTTCTTGGTGTTACGAGACAGGGTGTCTCTGTATTGTTTTGGAGGCTGTTGGTCCAGCCTGGCCTCGAACTCATAGAGATCCGCCTGCCTCTACCTCCGGAGTGCTAGGATTAAAGGCGTGTGCCACCACCGCCCAGCAAAAGCTGTCTCTTGATGATTCTTAGATTCATATATTTAGTGTACACCTTTCTCTCATCATCTAAGCATATCCAGCTACCATCTTGACACCTCCATGCATCCATAAAACATGTGGTTAGATTATTTTCCAGTAGATTTAACATCCAAGGGTAGGAGTTCCTGTACATCTCCCCCAAATATACACAGGATCTTAAGCAACCATTAAAATAAAACAAAAGTTCTGTTCCCTTTATCTGGAAGGCTAATAATAAATAAATAAATAGATAGATAGATAGATAGATAAATAAATAAATAAACAAATAAATAAATAAATAAATAAATAAGAGCCAGCAGGGGTGTAAAAGGTAATTTTTTTAAACTTAGCACTATTACATGATCTGGTGGCTAGGGTTGCTCACACATAATTTCTTCATTTGATAACTCATATCTTTCCAGAACTGTTTATCACAGAGGGAACAAAAAGTGTGAATAATCTTAATATGTGAATGCTGCTGCCTTAGTTTTCCAAGAAAACCAGTAGATAAGCATCCCTGTTTCCACTAGATGATTATCTTGTTGAACTGAACTCTATGTCCCTGATAAAAGGAAGGAAACCACTAGACTAAGGACAATGAACTTACAAGGCTTCCATTTAGATCCCTATTAATGGAGTTCCAGAAAGTTCTTGCATGGTTGGTGCAATCTGAGAAGAGTTTTCTGTCAATACAAACTGCTCTGTTTCTCCTTTGTGCTTTCATCACCTGTGTTTATTTTGTGTTCCACTGAAGATCAAGTGACTAATTGTAGAATGAGCAACGTGAAATGTGGTGGGAGGAGAAAAAGGAAAATTTCTTTTCTTCATGGCTGCTGTTACAGAATGCTCTTGTATTGAAAGCAGTTTCTGTTATAAGGATCTGACAGAGGAATTAATTTATCCTCTTTGTCTTTTGCCTCCTTAAGGGAGCTTGATTGTGGTTTTTTTTTTGTTGATCTTGCAAGTCTTTGTGGGGTATTTTTCAAGGAACATACCCATCCACTTAGTTCTTATGTTAGCAACAAGGTGACAGGGCCTGTTGTCTGTGTTTTGAGTATGCCCAGGTGATAATAATGTGTGTCTAGGCTTTTGAATCACTGGATTAGGAGATATGGCAGGATCATTTTTGCTTTGATTTTTCTGTGAGTCATGCCACAAAGATCAGCAAACGGTTTCGACTAAGGGTGAAATAGGAAATAGTTTCAGCTTTGTAATCATACGGG